TAAGATGCAGATATATGCTCTGTTGTTTGACATCTTGACCAAAATATTTCCCAATTACTGGTACAATGAGAACAGAATGGACCATCTGTATGAGGGCAAGGTGAACAGGTTTAAGGACTTCCTCTCTTCTTTTTAACTCATTAATAAAATGATAAATTGCTAGCTAGAAAGAAAAAAAAATAATCCAAGGAGGATGTTGAAAAGAGGCAATTTTTTTTTCTTTTTTTTTTTAAGTTCCTCGAGAGCAGGAAACATTTCTTAGTTTCTTTGTTCCTTAGCACTTAACCCAATTCTTTTTTCTTTTTTTTTTTTTTTTTTTAATATATTTTTTATTGATTAAGATATTACATATGTATCCTTGTCCCCACGTTACCCTCTACCCCCCCCCCTACCCCCGCTCATGCCCTCACCCCCCCGTTGTCCATGCCCATTGGTTAGGCCTATATGCTTGCATATAAGTCCTTTGGTTGATCTTTCCCCCTTACCCCCACCCTCCCCTACCTTCCCTCCAAGTCCCGACAGTCCAATCAATGCCTCTCCGTCTCTGGATCAGTCCTTGTTCATCAGCTTATGTTGTTCATTATATTCCACAAATGAGTGAGATCCTGTGGTATTTATCCGCTCTCAAGTTCCATCCATGCTGTGGCAAATGGTAAGAGTTCCTTTTTCTTCTTCCTCTTCTTAAAGAATACCTTCAGCATTTCATATAATGCTGGTTTGGTGATGATGAACTCCTTTAGCTTTTTCTTATCCGTGAAGCTCTTTATCTGACCTTCTATTCTGAATGATAGCTTTGCTGGATAAAGTAATCTTGGTTGCAGGTTCTTGCTATTCATCACTTTGAATATTTCTTGCCACTCTCTTCTGGCCTGCATGGTTTCTGTTGAGAAATCAGCTGACAGTCGTATGGGTACTCCCTTGTAGGTAACTGACTGTCTTTCTCTTGCTGCTTTTAAGATTCTCTCTTTATCTTTTGCTCTTGGCATTTTAATTATGATGTGTCTTGGTGTGGTCCTCCTTGGATTCCTTTTGTTTGGGGTTCTCTGCGCTTCCTGGACTTGTAAGTCCATTTCTTTCACCAGGTAGGGGAAGTTTTCTGTCATTATTTCTTCAAAAAGGTTTTCAATATCTTGCCCTCTCTCTCCTTCTGGTACCCCTATAATTCTGATGTTGGTACGCTTGAAGTTGTCCCAGAGGTTCCTTACACTATCTTCATATTTTTGGAATCTCTTTTCTTTTTTCTTTTTCGGTTGGGTATTTTTTGTTTCTTTGTATTTCAAATCTTTGACTTGATTCTTGGGGTCCTCTTTTCTGCTGCTGGATCTCTGTAAATTATTCTTTATTTCAGTCAGTGTATGCTTAATTTCTAGTTGGTCCTTTTTCATGTCCTCCATGGTCTCCCTATACTTATTGAGGGATTCATTAAATTTATCGGCGGTTTCCATAAAATTCTTGAAAAACCTTATAACCGTGGCCTTAAACTCTATATCCAATCGTTTGCTTTCCTCCATTTCTGCCATTTGTGACCTGTTTCTTTGTCTCCGCATTTTGGCAGCTTCCCTGTGTTGATAGAGTGGCCCTGTGCGCCAGGTGTCCTGTAGGGCCCAGTAGCTCAGCCTCCCCAGTTACCTGGGGTGGACACTCTTGGTGCACTCTTGGTGCCTTGGTTGTTGTAGAATCACTGGGAGGAATTGACCTCCAGGCCAATTGGCTGTGAGAATCAGCTGTGTCTAAAGTGGGAGAACTTCTGTGCTGAAGACACCCTTCTGGGGCAAGACTCGCTTCAGTGGGGCTTTGGTGCTCACTGAGTCTGCTCCCTGAGTGCGTCCCTTATGGATCTGAGGAGTTGCAGTCTGGATGGACCCCCTCTGACCACTGGGTACAGTGGCTCCTGGATCTAGGGAGGTGCTAATTCAGCCTCTGCCTGAGGCCACACAGCAGGAGCCACGAAGAGGCTCAGCTGTGAAGCAATGCAAGCCTCTGCGGGGCCTTGGGCCTTCTCTTGGAAGTTCCAGGTCTGCCTGGTTCGGCTGCAGTTAGGTACATTCACATGCAAAAGCCTCTGCGGCAGCCTGGGTGGGGCGGGGTCTCAGGGAGTCAGAGGGCGGAGAAAGCGGCCATGGCCGATTCTCCGCCCGGAGTCGCGCGTCTCAGTGTTCCGGTAACGGCTGCAAGCACCTCTGAGGGAAAGCCGCCCTCAAGTTCGCTCGCTGCCGGACAGACCAGTTTCTCCCCGTATGAGACCTGGGTCCCCAGAGACTTCCCGGAACCGGAGTTCAGAGCCGTCGGGAGTTTGTGATTCAAAAAGTCAGCCGCGTCCTCAGGCGCCACCCCCTTTCTTCGCGCGCGCGCCGCTGTACCTCTGCACTTCACCTCCGCAGCGCCTCTGGCTCTCAGCGTGCTTTTCTTTCCTTCTAGTTGTGGAATTTACACTCAGCCAGCCTTCCTGTTTTTCTGGATGATGTTTGCTCAGTCCTTTGCGGTAATTTTCAATTGTTGTATGAGGCGATAATTTCCCGGTGTTTACCTATGCCGCCATCTTAGTTCCACTCCCTCTTTTTTCTTTTTTTTTTCTTTGCAGTGCTATTTTTTATTTTATTTTAATTTTTTTTATTTTAATTTTTTTTATTGCTTAAAGTATTACAAAGGGTATTACATATGTGTCCATTTCCCCCCCCCCCCCCCCCCGCCCTAGACAGTCCCCTAGCCTCCCCTATCCCTCAGTGTCTTATGTCCATTGGTTATGCTTATATGCATGCATACAAGTCCTTTGGTTGATCTCTTACCCCCCTACCTCCTGCCCCCCAACCCTCCTCGGCCTTCCCGCTGCAGTTTGACAATCTGTTTGAGGCAGCTCTGCCTCTGTATCTATTATTGTTCAAAAGTTTATAATGGTCTCTATTATCCATGAATGAGTGAGATCATGTGGTATTTTTCCTTCATTGACTGGCTTATTTCGCTTAGCATAATGCTCTCCAGTTCCATCCATGCTGTTGCAAATGGTAAGAGTTCCTTCCTTTTTAGAGCAGCATAGTATTCCATCGTGTAGATGTACCACCGTTTTCTAATCCATTCATCTACTGATGGGCACTTAGGCTGTTTCCAGATCTTAGCTATGGTGAATTGTGCTGCTATGAACATAGGGGTGCATATATCCTTTCTGATTGGTGTTTCTGGTTTCTTGGGATATATTCCTAGAAGTGGGAACACAGGGTCAAATGGGAGTTCCATTTTCAGTTTTTTGAGGAAACTCCATACTGTCTTCCATAGTGGCTGCACCAGTCTGCATTCCCACCAGCAGTGCACAAGTGTTCCTTTTTCTCCACATCCTCTCCAGCACTTGTCATTTGTTGATTTGTTGATGATAGCCAGTCTGACAGGTGTGAGATGGTACCTCATTGTTGTTTTGATTTGCATCTCTCGGATGACTAGTGACTTTGAGCATGTTTTCATATGTCTCTTGGCTTTCTGAATGTCCTCTTTTGAAAGGTGTCTATTTAGGTCCTTTGCCCATTTTTTGATTGGATTGTTTATCTTCCTTTTGTTAAGTTGTATGAGTTCCCTATAAATTTTGGAGATTAGGCCCTTATCAGATATGACATTGGCAAATATGTTTTCCCACACAGTGGGTTTTCTCGTCGTTTTGTTGATGGTTTCTTTTGCTGTGCAGAAGCTTTTTATTTTGATGTAGTCCCATTTGTTCATTTTCTCTTTCGTTTCAAGTGCCCTAGGAGCTGTATCAGTGAAGAAATTGCTTCGGCATATGTCTGAGATTTTGTTGCCTTTGGATTCTTCTATAATTTTTATGGTTTCCTGTCGTACATTTAAGTCCTTTATCCATTTTGAGTTTATTTTTGTGTATGGTGTAAGTTGGTGGTCTAGTTTCATTTTCTTGCATATATCTGTCCAATTTTCCCAACACCATTTATTGAAGAGACTATCTTGGCTCCATTGTATGTTCTTGCCTCCTTTGTCAAATATTAATTGAGCATATTGGTTCGGGCCGATTTCTGGGCTCTCTATTCTATTCCATTGATCTATATGCCTATTCTTGTGCCAGTACCAGGCAGTTTTGAGAACAGTGGCTTTGTAATACATCTTGATATCTGGTATTGAGATCCCACCTACTTTGGTCTTTTTCAGGATTGCTGCAGCTATTCGGGGTCTTTTTTTTATTCCAGATGAATTTTTGGAGAGTTCGTTCTAGATCTCTGAAGTATGCCGTTGGTATTTTAATGGGAAGTGCGTTGAATTTATAGATTGCTTTGGGTAGTATGGACATTTTAATGATGTTGATTCTACCAATCCATGAACACGGTATGTTCTTCCATCTGTTTATGTCTTCCTCTATATCTTTTTTCAATGTCCTGTAGTTTTCTGAGTAGAGGTCTTTTACCTCTTTAGTTAAGTTTATTCCTAGGTAGCTTAATTTCTTTGGTGCGATGGTAAACGGGATTGTTTTTATAATCTCTCTTTCTGAAAGTTCACTATTGGTGTATAGAAATGCCTCAGATTTCTTGGGGTTAATTTTGTATCCTGCTACATTGACAAATTCATGTATTAAGTCTAGTAGCTTTTTGATGGAGTCTGAAAAGAGGCAATTTTTAAAAAAGTAAATCTATATCCAGGACATCATCAAGAAATCAGTATGTAAAAACAACATGATGCTTAAAAGAGGAATTACTATAAATTCTGCACCGCTCTAAGTATAGCAACAGGTATAACCATTTTCAAGGAGGGTATGTTCAGAGCTGCTTAGGCAGTAGTTCCCAGTGCCACAAGAAACAAAAAGGGCCATTTTGATAGGCAGAGAAAATATGCTTTTGGTCTCTCATGAAAGAGAGGACTATGGTTATTGATGATTTTCTGAGGAATGGTGAAGTGGCAAAGCATGTGTAACAGGTGACCCATTTTCTTCCTGTAAGTCTCTGATGTGCAGTGAGTAAACTTCTGAGAACTGACAAACTCATTGAAACTCCCATGTCTATTGATTTATGTAGGAAGAAGTTCTATTACCAGACTGAACTGGAAATATGAAAGAAATTAAAATCTTGGGAAGACAATGGACAGCTGAAGTTACAAGAAAATCTTTTATCTTTATGTTATCTCTCATGAAAAATAAAATAATTTCAACCAAGTTGATATAAAAATGGACTTTGATTTCCTGGTCTATGATTTATGATTCTAGGATAAGTGCCTGTTGAATGGGGTAGTCCATTTCATCAGCTCTGGGATAAAAGTTTGACAGGAAATGTGTTTACCTGACTGACCAAATGGACTGTTGAAATGAAATAGGAGACAAAATAAACACAATTATAAAAACCAAAACAAAATATGAATCTGGATCCTTTGGGAAGCCACCACTAAGACACAAAAAGGTAATAACATGGCTGATTGGGATCAATCTCTTGATTAAATGATAAGGTTGAGCTTCTGAGAGATCAAAGTTAAAGGCTTTTTGTTTTCATCAACCAGTGATTATTTCACAATAAGTAAATAGGCAACCTTCTATCCGTCTATAGAACGTTAGTGAGCTTGACCTAGAAATGGAACGGATCTAGTTGGCGCTGACTTTTCCTTTCCATAAACACTGTAATCATTCATGGAGGCATAATAAACTATATACAAAGAATAATTAAAGAAACTAAGGAGAGTTTAAATGAATAAATTAGCCTTATTTCTAAAGTGTATAATATTTAGGTGATTACTATCTGTGACCACAGGCTTAATCACTATCTTTTGAGAGTTTTGATGTCCTTTACAACTTCAGAACATCCCATAAACCCCAGACTTCTCACCTTAAAATGACAGAGTTTCCAACATCAGTAGGAAAATGGTATCATGGGGCAGCAATTTTACTACTGACTGTGACTTCACATAAAATGATATCCTTAAATATACTAGTATAATTATAATCAGGCAGGAGTTTAATTATATTTGTGTTTTAAGTTATAATATTACAAAAGTTCTATTTATAATTTTGCAAACCCGTAATGAACAAAATGTTCTAGTTTCTTTTTACATTCTGACAGAACATATGGTCAGAAAGGAGCTACAGCACAAAGCTGATTTTACTTGCAATTTATTTCTTTGGAGAGGTGCCATTTTCTTCAAGAAAATGATTTATCAATTTTGTCAGAAAGTATTGACTGCTCTCTTGAGCAACTGGTCTATTCTATTTTTTTATTGAAGTATAGTTGCCATACAAGATTATATTTGTTTCAGGTATACAACATAGTAATTCAACATTTCTATACCTTATAGTGTGATCACCATGGTAAATCTAGAATCCATCTATCACCATACGAAGTTATTAGAAGCTTATTGACTATATTCCCTATGCTGTAATTTACATCCCTGTGATTTACTTTATTTTAACTGGAACTTTGTATCTCTTATTCCCCTCACTTCCTTTTTTATCTATTCTCTTCACTCCTCCCCTCTGACAACAACCATCAGTTTGTTCTCTATATCTGTGAGTTTGTTTCTGTTCTCTATATCTGTGAGTTATTCTTATTTTATGGCTACAGTAATCCACTCTAACCCATGATTCAGCTATCTGATCTACTTGATGTAATCACGTTTCTTCTTTTACAGAGTAGAAATCTTGGGTTCTTATTCACGTTCTCATCTTTAGTCAATGGAAAAGTCCCCCAACATACATCTTGTTCATTATCCTCAATCATGGCTTCAGCTTATTTTTCTAAAATTCATGCTTTTTTCCCTTCATAATTAAATGTTGAAAATCTCACTGTGCTGGGTCTATTTTTGCAAGTCAATTTACATCCTTTCTGAAGCAAGCTGGTCTATAAATAAAATAGATAAATGATCGGTGAGTGGATAGATAACAGGAATCTAGAATTTAGTCTACATTCACCAGCAGAACCGCAAAGATGTGTGGTGCAGTGGAAAGTCTAATAAGCTACTTCACAGGAGAATTGATGCTTGGTTCTTACTCCACCCTTAACTGGCCTTGATGATTTAGAGAAGTCATTACATTTCTGTAAGCTTCAATGTTCTTATTTGTCAATAGGGAGAGTGATGGGGTGATGTGCAAAATTCATTCCAGCTTTCATAATATTATGAGACTGAAACATATCAGCAGCAAAACCTCCTAGAAAGCTCTCATGCGGAAGCATGCCATTGAGTATCACTACCATGCAAAAGTTATTGCTGTTTTCTTATTGCAACAGAGAAGTTTTCTTAGGTGGAAAATGGAGTTATCAGATGAACAACACTGCCTCCTGGTAGAACTCCCTGAACATTCATTAGTCTAAATCCATGGTCGGAAAACTGCGGCTTGCGAGCCACATGCGGCTCTTTGGCCCCTTGAGTGTGGCTCTTCCTAAGCCTTAGGAGTATCCTAATTAAGTTAACAACAATGTACCTACCTATATAGTTTAAGTTTAAAAAATTTGGCTCTCAAAATAAATTTCAATCGTTGTACTGTTGATATTTGGCTCTGTTGACTAATGGGTTTGCCGACCACTGGTCTAAATGGTCTCATCACTGTCATGGGACTAAGGGTGGAGCTGAGTCTTCAGTCTGATTATACGTTACTACAGGTACGAAAAGGTTGGTGACAGATTACTGACGAAATATGACAGAAATGATAGGAAAAAAACTTAGAAGCAGCCAATTATTACTAAAGATTACTTTTAATAAACATTTTGGCTTGTTTTCTACAATGTAAGAAATCCATCTTCATACACAAGTGTTTAATGTACAAGTTTCCATATTTAACATGTTTTCTTTTTTTAATTTGGTGGATTTTCCTTCTTTTTGTAAACTTAAAACTGCAAGACTAAAATATCCCTTATCTGGTAAATTTGTTCCTAACTATAAATTCGTAGGCCAAAACTTCCAAGGCCACTTTAGAATAGGAAGGAAAATGGACAGGTTTTGTTTGCCAATGCACCCATATCCCAGTTGTGAGTGTTGGCTACGAACAGCTACTAACTGTCTTTTTTGTGAATGGCTCTGGGTTGATAGGAGCCACTTCATCTCTCTGAAAAATACCCAAGGGGTTAGGCTATTCCCAGGTAAGCAGTAGCCAGAAAAAATAGAAAAATGATAGGGGTGCAACAAAGAGAAATAATATTGAAAATATTAATGGAATATAAGTAAAATTTTTTCTCTTGGTGCCAATTTTTAAGAGATTGATGTTCTTAACAAATAAAGGAATAAATACTACACTTCAGAAGAATTGATAGTTTGTGTAATCAATTTATCAATTTTTAATTCATTTTCATCAGCTACACTCTTCTTTCTGAAATGCAATACATTTTAGGTCACCAAAGACTTTATTATCCTTCAAGCAAAAATGAGGCATGAGGAGTTCAGTTTATTAAGCCTCTAATATCCAAATTAGTAAATATTAAACCACATGTACTGTGTCAGTGATGAACATTAGCACTACACATTCTTTAGCCAGGTAAAACTGTTCTATACTAGCTCCACTTACTAGCTAAAATTTTATTTAAACTTTCTGTTCTTCAGTTTTACCAGGTAATAAATGGAGGAGATAATAAGGCTGTCTTACCGGGTTGCTGCAATGATTAATTATAATAAAATATGTAAAACACTTGCCTGCCAAAAGAAAGCAATAAATATTAAGTTTTATGTCCTTTCATTCTCTCTTCTTACTTCCCTCTACTCTTCTCTAATTTGCCCTTCCTTTCTTCCTCCCTCCCTTCCTTCCTTCTTTCCTTCCTCTTCTCTTGTTTCATTCATCCCTCTCTCCTCTTCCTTTTCCTCCCTTCGCCTCCCCTCTTTTCTTTGTATATGGGGATGGCAAGTCTCCATGAACAAGTGGATGTTCTAATAAGTGAGAATTTATTTAAAACTACAGGCCTGGTGCATGAAATTCATTCACGGGGGGGCGGGGGTGGGGGGAGTCCCTCAGCCTGGTCTGTACCCACTCCCAATTCAGGACCTTTCGAGGGATGTCCAACTGCCGGTTTAGGCTCGATCCTGTGTGGATCAGGCCTAAACTGCAGTTGGACATCCCTCTCGCAATCTGAGACTGCTGGCTCCTAACTGCTTGCCTGCCTGCCTGATCACCCTTAACCACGTGCCTGCCTGCCTGATAGCCCATACTCACCCCCTGGGGGTGGGGCCAGCGGGGGGGAGGGGCCATGGTCATTCTGGTCATTCCACCATTTTGGTTGCTGGGCTTTTATTATATAAAATAAGTTAGTTAGCTAGCCCAGCTGGCATGGGTCAGTGGTTGAGCATTGACCTATGAACCAGAAGGTCATAGTTCAATTCCCAGTCAGGGCACATGCCCAAGTTCTGACCATATCCCCTGTGTAGAGTGTGCAGGAGGAAGCTGATCAATGATTTTCTCTTATCATTGATGTTACTATCTCTCTCTCCCAAATCAATAAAAAGTAAAATAAATTAGCTAAATTAAAATATTCAAATTTTAATTTCCTTGAGTAAATACTATAGCTTTAAAAAGTGTAAGTATTTTTCCCAATTAAGATGAAAACATACCTGAAAACTACACTGTCTTATATTTGATTCCAGCCTTATATTGAATTGACTAATAATTCTATTGAAATTGTAATAACTGCTTAGCATCCTAAATATCAACAGAAGCAATGACCAGGAAGATCCTACTGCTTCTTTCATCAAAGAAGCTACAATTTTGCTTTTTCTTCTTACCAGGTGGCCTCTTCTAAGATTCCTACCATTTTGAAATATTATATTTTATTTAGGTTGTACACTGGTAAATGAAGTGTACACAAACACACACACAAAAGATTTGAGGGATTCTACAAAAAAAATTAAGATTCTTGGGCACTTCCTGTTCTTCAGTTATAGAGCTTATGAGAATTAAAGAATTATAGGATGTTACAAATGAAAATTATAAAGCTGTTTCCTATTAAAATACATTGAAATGTGTTAGGGTGTTTGCGTCATTGACAGAGAAAAGCACATTTGAAAAACCCTCTACATATCAAGATTTTGCTTCTTTCCTTTTAACTCCCCACCTTATTTTCTGCCACACTATGTTCTGCTTCTGATCTTTTTGCTACATTTTAAAATATGTGGATATTTAGATATTGCTAAGGATAAATAGTGTTTACATTATTGCCAACAATAAGCCAAGACCCAAAACATTGTGAA